TTTTATAGTATATTATTAATTTTAAATTATATATTTAATAATATAATATCTATGTAAATATTACATAAATTATTTTGTGATATCAATTGCAAGCATATTATATGTGTACATATTATTTATATTTTTAATTTGTATTAATATACAGTTTAACATGTAATTTTTTATATATTTTCTTACAAAATAAAAATAAAATTTTAAAATAAGATAGAAAAATTGAAATTTAAAATAAGATATGAATTTATTAAAATTTATAAGTATAAAATACATTTAATATGAATATTTTTTTAATAAAAATAAATAAAAATCGAGTCATGCGGTTCAACTAGTGACCCACCAATCCAACCTTTGACCCACTGACCCAGTACCTTAACCGGTTCGATGAGCGGTCCGATTTTTAAAACTATGAACATACCAACAATTTTTTATAGCAATTCCTTCATGTTTGGATATATGAGTAAAATGCAATAAAGCTACCATGCCATTGTTTTGTATATTTTTACGACTAAACGGAAACTACCTCATACCCTGATTTTTAAGGGGACGGAAAAGGTTATACTCCATTCCATCCGAGTTGATTGGATACAAAAACAAAAAAAGAGTAACTTAGTATCAATCCGTACTACATCACTTCATTCAAACTCACACATATCATTCCATACTACATCAATTCATTCAAACAAACATACCATTCCATAGTACATCACTTCATTCAAACACACAGCTATTGACATTTCAGAGTTATACTTTTTGGCTTGAAAGGTTAATGCTTACATAATCACTTATCCACCACAATCGTTAGCTGTCAAATACCAAGCAGGCTCTTGAAGAATCATCATCATATGTGTTTTAAAACATTTGAGAACCAAGGCAGAAAGAAGACAAGCATATTAAATTTCATTGATCCTATTCACATCAAACTCTTTAACATGTAAACCATTTAACAGGCAGCTTTCAAAATTTGCACAAGCCAATCCCAATCATGCAAATTTCAGATAAATTACTACTTGATTATTCTCAAACTCAATTCCCAGTTAAAACCAAACAAAAAAAAACTCCTTTAAGATTCAAGCTCTCCTAAGCTCAACAAATATTTCTATGTTATGTTAAATTTCTTTAAAGGAAAAGGTTGATTTAGAAAAGAAAAGAAGGGAGTATGGCTTAGTGAATTTAGACATACATATTTGTTTTAAGTGACTTTAGTTCTTGTGTGAGGTAGACCCATTAAGATAAATAGAAAACTTTTTATCACATCAACATGCAGACAATTTTATAGGGTGTATTCTATTTCTTCTTATTTATTCTTGACTATACAAAATGAAACTGCTAGAATCAAACCACACTTGCGATATTGTTATGATATTTGCTTGTAAACATATTTTCCATTTCTTATTTCCTAATTGAATTGCGTGCAGCTGGAGATAGTCGTGACACAACTTCCAGATGACAATAATTCTAGAACTGACTACCCATGTACAAGTAGTTCTGATGAGTCGAAATATAATGGCTATGGATATGATTCAGCTGATGATTTAGAGGCTCATAGCATCTTTAACTTTGATATCTTACAAAGCTGCTTAAGTAATTTTTGGTGAGGCCTACACACCGTATTACACTTAAGAACTTCAACCACTTTTTATTCCGAGGGTGAGTTGCTTACCTCTCTTTGTGGGTCTTATTTTTTTGTCCTCCTTATTCTTTCTCAGGTTGAACATTAATTTCTCTTTATATCAACATGTTTCTATATTTATTTTATTGTTAAAGAATAGATAAGCAAATATCTACTATGATATGAAATATGAGATATCAATCTTTAGATTATCGATAAAAACAATTAAGATTGATATTAAAACTCACTTATAAACACTTCTATTTGATTATTATTATTGTTGTCTCTACAATTATTATCACTTACTATACCACCATCATCACCACCATTGTTGTTAATACTATCGTCAATGTCACGTGGCAGTGATAGTAGTGATAGAGACAACAATGATGATGATAATAGTAAGTAATAACAATGGTAGTGATAATGATGATGATAATAATTACAAGTATAAAAAGGAACCAACTTGGCTCATTTGGGTTGGCTCATTTGGGTTGGCTCACCATGGTTTGGGACTTAAAATGAGTTAGCCTAACTTGACTCACTTTTTTGGAGTCAACAAAATCTCAACCCAACTCAACCAATCATGGGTTGATGAGTTAGGTGAGTTAACTCATTGAATTTCTTAAAATATAAAAAAATCAACAATGCTTATCTCTTTTCTTTTTTAGAAAAAAAAGTCACAATTTTCTATCAAATCATTTATTGATTCAAATACAAAATAAAATATCATTCAAATAACATTTTGTTTTTTTAATTATTTAAATATAATAATTTTTTTTTGCATTATGTTTTAATTCTTGGAGGGTTAAATGGGCTAATCCAATTTGAACCAGTTACGCTTGCAAGTTAAGTGAGTCGAATTGAATAGATAGTGTTATCATTTATTATCATAAGAGTATTTTGGGATTAAAAATATTAAACAAGGTTGACTTGTTTTTTTTTTTTTTTAATTTTAGTCAAAATAATTTAAGCATTTTTTGTTTATATATAACTTTAAAAAGAGTATCAAATTGTTTTAAAAATTTATAGACTTAATTAATTTAGTAAGATATTTTAATTTAATAATTTAATAGTTAAAATTTAATATTAATTATAAATTATTCTTAGAGTAAGAGAATCTTAATTCATAGCCTATAATAATAAATTATATATTGTGTGTAAAAATCACATACAAAAAATATATTTTATGTATATACATACGTACTTCATACCAAATAAACACACATACACATACATATCATATGTATGTGTATCTCACAATAAAAAATATATACTTCACGTCTTAAAAAAAGTGTAATTAATATTCAAGATTCATATTACAGTAAATAAATTTATCACTTAAACACTTACTACAACCATTATGTTGTCTCTATCTTTTTTTTTTTTTTTGTCATTAAGCCGTGAAATTATTCAACTCTAACCCTTTTGATGATCCAAAAGGCTGCAATGTATTTGTAATGTCTTGGACTCAAATCTAACTTAGTCTAATAGAGAAAGTAGGGTTTCAAGAAATTAATTGTAGCCTTAAAATTGGACCAGTTCCATGCAAACGAATTGAATTAGGCCCAATATAAACTTTAAAAACTATTGCTCTGATCTTCCGCTCAAATATGAAAGTGTGGAACCTTGACAATAAAGGTTTATGGTTGCATTAAATTTTAAAATTAAACCACTTATAAAAAAAACCAAAAAAAAAAAAACATATAAAAAATAGTTTGCCTTTTAGCGAAGTTGGATTCAAACTAGTTTATAAACCAATTGATGGTCAAAATTGGATTTGAATTAAAGTTTACTTAAATTACACCCATCTTTCCCTTTCTTTTAAAGTATACACTTTATTTCATGAAATATGAATTATACTTTTCTTTTTGGGTGCATAATATGAATTATACTTTAACTCTTTTTAATTTAAAAAATATTTTAAAAATAGTGAAAATTATGGAATATGTTTTCCTAACATTTTATAATTTTTTTTTAACTTTCAATGTCATTATTAATTAGTTTTGAACATTTTATTATTAATTTTAATATTTTAGAAATTAGAATGAATTATTAAATACGGTTATTATTGGTTTTGAAACTCATATTCTGAAGCCACAAAAAATTCATGGTAAAAATTCAAAACTAGCTAAGAATCATGTAAAAACAGCAAGAGAAAAAAAGTCTAAAAACTCATTTACATTAAAATAGATTAAACTATGAGATATATTCATAAAAATGTATATTTTAAAATAACATAGAAGAAGAATGTAATTTATCTTTAAGCGAATCGTAATTTTTTCATCAATAATTTCTATTAAATAAATTTTGGCCAAGTATTGTTATGTGAGTATTTTTATTTAACCTTTTTAGAAAAAAATAATCATTCAGTTTTATGAAAAGACCCCTCTCTCCCTCTTAATGTTTTTTATTTTTTAAATTTAACCTGTTACTAAAGACATAAACTATATCATAATGATACAAATATTTTTTATTTTTATTTTTTAACCATGCTTACATTTTTATCATCTCAATTAGTTTTGTTATAAAAAAGTTTAAGTACATTTCTTTTAGATATATATTTTTTATTAGAATCAAAGTTTTACTTGGATAATATATTTATATTTAATATAAATTTTATTTATGTATATTATGGACTACATTCAAAGAAATAAAATATAATTTAAAATTTAAAAATAGTGAAAAATAATTTTAAATATCCATAAAAGTATAATTGAAAGAAAATAATTACTTTATTGAATAAAAGGTAAAAAATAGTAATTAATTAAAATTTTTGTAAAAAAAAAAGATAGTATAGATTGTTTTGGTATACTAAAGATAGTCAAGATTAAAACTAAGAAAGTAAAGATTAAAGGTATATAAAAAAAGATAGTAAAGATTAAAGAAAGTATGAAACTTAAAAATTAAAATTTAAAAAAAAAATATATCAAAAGAAAGAGAACCGAAAACCCTAGACCACTTTGTATATAATGGGCATTGAATCCCCATTCTCAACTCACACTTGAATTCAGAATGGGGCTTTCTACACTTCAGCCTATCACTCTCTCGAAACTTCCCAACGTTTTCCCCTCTTTTCCTCACAGACAAACCCTTCTCACTCCCCACGCCGCACTCTTATCTCGTACGTTCTTCAATCCTTTTAATTTCTTATTCAATCCCAACCAAAACCTACCATTCTCTCTCTCTGCTGCTTTTTTAATCGTTCTCTGTCTAAACTTAAACTAAATTGTTAACCTCGTGGGTGGCTTCGAACACTCTAGGGTTCCCCGACTTTCGCGTCTTTAACTTGCGCTGTTGTATGCCATTGTTTGTGTCTCTCTTTTGTTAATTAAATTTTTGGAGCAACTGGTATGACTATGTTTTATTGCTGAAATTGCAGGATCAATTTGCTTGAGGAATTTATCTGCCAGGGCAACGACATCTGAAGAAAGATCCAATGGGGCTAGTCCGTTTTTCAATGAGAAACGTGATGGTGTCATAACCCTGGAGGACGTTAAAGCAGATGATAGGAATGAGTTCGATAAAACGGGGAATGAAGACACGAAGGAAGTGTTACCTGTTGATGGAGAGGATTTGTCGTTTAATTTGCTGGATAAGATCAATGTAAGGGTCAACTTAATCACTTTTTGCCTATTGAGCTTTTTCTGATCTCTGTAGTGTCTATACACTCTAGGTTATTTACTATGAATTTGGTGTTTCCATGGCAAATGTTTTGTCCCTGCCAGTTTACATTTTTTTCGTATTTCAAATGTTGAGTTGCTACATGGTTGAAGTTTTTTTTTTTTTTTTTAAAGTGTTTTTTTTAATAAAATAAGCAGTTTTTTTTTAATTATTTTAATTTTTAAATTTGTTTGTGTGTACCGTTTAATCAGCAATTCTTTTCAGTTTCTTCAAAAATCACATTTTTAAAAATTACTCTTTAATTCTTAGATTTATCCAGGAGATTATTGAAATGGAAAGCATCTGATTTTGTGGTTGTAACACTTTAATTTTTATTTTATTTTTTTACTTTTAAACAAGCTGGCTCATGATGACATTATAGTTTATTGATGTCATTAGTAGATTATGAAATTGGTTGGTGTTTCAAAGCTCATGTTATTTTTCCCCGGTTGGTTTACACTTTTTTCTATTTCAAATATGGAGTTGCTATGATGATCCAGCTTATTGATAGCATTTATAGAATGCTGGATGATGCTTCGGCAGTCATGTCGAATCTGAGCGGTTACCTGAGCAACTCCATGCAGTTAGTTTTTGTTTTTGTGAAATTGTTTTTGACAGCATATCATTGTTTTTGACTTATTTAAATTTACTTGAGCTTTTGCTAAGCTATTCTGCCTTTGTTTTAGCCAAAAGCTTCATATTTGGTTTCCTTAGACGCTTCATATCTCATGTCTCATTTTTTTTAATAGCTTTTTATAACCATTGACTCATCTAGATGGTTTAAATGATTCAACTTCCGTTTTAATATTTTTAATGTTAGACCAAACTTTCTATTGTTGATTCATGTTATATTTAATTCATGAGAAAAGGTTAGTGTTGATTATTGTTTCCAAATTATTGCATATATATGTCCTGTTTACTGAACATTAGCTACTGTGATTGCTGTGACATCATTTATGAGTTTTTACCAGACACTAACATTTTTATCCTGGCCATTGGGATTGGGGGTATCTAATGGATTAATTGCCCACCACGATTACTGTGTGTAATCTATTAGCCTCATATTATTAGCTTTGGTAAGGTTGTACACTGGTTTGTAGGTGTTATGGTACTCCTTTTTATCTCTTTTCTATGACAACAAAATATGCTAGAAGGGAAAATGATTCTTTTAGCTGTTGTATTTTCTATTCTTATTTTTTGTTCAATTCTATTAATAATATTACTTGTCAAACTCTCAGCTCCAAAGCCATTGTGAAAATTATTTGTCTAAACTCTAAAGGTACCATCAAAGGGTGGGCGTCTTCATTTTCTTTACTAAAGTGATTGGGTATGGCATCTTAAGTCAATGATGTAACATTAAATTGTTTCTAATTTGATTTGATTTTGTGAAGCATCAGATACTGGCTGGTGCTTGTGAAACTGACACCCTATTTCTTATTGAGAGGGTCGACTGTAATTTTTTCTGTCTGTGTTTGCATTGCATTACTTGTATATTATTAAGAATTCAAATGACCTGGTTTTGTTGTGTTTGTTTAATCTAATCTGCTGTCTTTTTTTCCTTAACAGTTTGATAAAGATGACGCTGGTTCCGTTGTCTTGTATGGGGCTGGTGCTATAGTGACTCTGTGGCTAACATCAGCTGTTATTGGTGCAATTGATTCTATTCCATTGGTGGGTATCAAAGCAGTGATGATGTAAATATTTTTCAAACCCAAGGCCAAACTTTTTGAATGCTGATGTTTCTTGTTCATTATTATGGTACAGTTTCCCAAGTTGTTGGAAGTTGTAGGGCTTGCATATACAGTATGGTTCAGTTCCCGTTATCTTCTTTTCAAGGTACTCCCTCTGGATCCAATTACTGTTATTTTTGCTGATATGTGTATCTTGGTTTCGGTTACCCAGATTAATTACTTTTGTTTTCCTGCAGCAAAATAGAGATGAACTCTCTGTTAAAATAGAGGAGCTCAAGGAACAAATTTTTGGTTCAGAAGACAATTGATTGTTCGGGTTGATGAAATATTAATTCTGGTCACTTAAATATGAATGTACAGTAACAATTACCTTTGGCTTAGTTAAATGATATGATAATATTTTGTCTTCCATAAGGCACTACTAAATTTTTGGGCTATGTTTGGTTACACATTTGATAGATGTAACCTCCATAAGGCCTTACTAAACAATTAGTTTATGTTTAGTTGCACATTTGAAATCTGCAATGTGTAATCTCATATAGCTGCTTTCGAACGCAGTGATTATATGTTTGAGAGGTTTTTTTCCCATTTCATTGGGTGTGAAATATAAGTAAATCTTAGTTAAAAGCTAGAAGGTAATTACTTATTATTTTTTTCTTGAAGTTGGTTTGGAAAGTTATGTTTAATTTAATTTTCTAACAATAAACACATTTGGTTATAATGAGCAATAACGGCTATTGCCAAATTGACTGATAACTAGGGATGATATTTGGGTTTGTGGGGATGGATAGTAGAATACTTGTTCATGCTTGGTTGTTCATGCTCGTCGATTGTCATGTACTCATTCTTCGTCTGCGAGTAATTCGGTAAGCAGTAACTTCAGAATTTTATGAGTATTTGTAGATATTCTTAGATATTTGAGATTTTTATAAAAATTAAAAATTATTATAAATAAAATGAAACTTGTATTTATTAGAACATTAAGGTTAGTTTAGTGGTTGGGAAGGGGAGAGGAGTTGGGTTAGAATCGTGATGATTTATTTAAGTTCAATTTATGTTGTGTCTTTGTAATTTTTTTTATGGATAAAAAACTTGTATCTGATTTTAATTTTATTGAAATAATAAAAAAATATATTTTATATTAATCATTAAATTTGTATTTAATGTTAATTTTGTAGAAATACTAAGAAAAATATGAGAAAATCAAGTTAAACATGGATATTTAAATAATTGATGTTTAAACTTATATTTAATATTAATTTTTTATAGAAATATTAAGAAAAATATGAGAAATTCAAGATAAACATATATTTAAATATTTTAGAGAATGCTTGCAGATATCAGTATTATCATGTCTGCTTTCCTTTTATTTATAAATGAGTAAAATATAATCACCTATTATTTGAAGACATCCGTTTAAGTTACTTATTTATCGTCCATCAATTAGTACATGTAGTTACGAGTTTTTTTTCTTCCAATTCCTAGGTGTTCATTTTGCATTTTCAATGTTTTTCTTTTTATTACATAGAATTTGTATTTCTTTTGTTCTTTTTCTATTATTCTTTTTGTTCTTTTTTATTTATAGAATTTTTAGTAAAATTTTTGTTCTATTCATTTGTTAATGTTCAAATGTTAAGACTGTATTAATTGTTTGTTATCAATTATATATATATTTTATTTATTTTTTAATTAATTTACATATGATAATTAATATATATTTATATGTGACAAAAATAAAAGAGGGTATAATAGGAGATATCAAAATATTACATAGAAAACAAAAAAGCATTATTTTGTCTCTTGAGTTGTGTAAAATATTCAAAAATTATTATAAAGAAATAGATGTAATATAAGCAAAAAAAAAAAAGTACACAGTTTTTATTCTTAAATATGAACAAATTTTAATTATTTTCATCATATTTAATGATATTTTTCTAAAAATATATTTCTTTTAATGCATCATCATTTATTCGTGTCGGGCATCAAACCAATTAGAATATTCAACTTATATATTAAAAGTTGAACTATGAATTATTAATTGAATTACATGATCTGATTTCTATTAATATTAAAAAAATATATTTATATCATACATATTTTATATTTATAAATTTTAATAAAATTTATATTATATCTTAAAAAATTACCCCAACACATTTTATATATAATATAATTAAATTGCAAGTTAAAGTTAGAAATATATAATTTAAGTAAATTATATATTAATTCAACTAGTTATCTTGGTGGTTGATAAACTTTCAAATAAAATATAACTTAATTACGGTATATATAAGTAATATAACATTTTACAAAAATATATTAATGATGTTAATATTAGGTCACCAGTACTTAGATTCAAATGTTAGTTTGACCAAATAATGCGTTTTGGTTTCGATCGAACTGCTCTAAATTAAGGTTTAAAATTATGTTAATAACATATTTTTTAATGTGTAAAGTTAATTATTTTTATTTATAATAGAGAATAGAAGAAACATGTTTTTGTTTACTTATAAATTTGTGACAAGAAAATTTGAGGAAATTCGTTTTTAAAAGTACCTAATATTTAAAATTAAGTATGTTTAATGGTAATGTGAAAACATTAATCGATGTGAGGTATGTTCTTGAATTTCAAAATAATTTAATTTTTTAGACTCTCTTATTTGTTCATATCAAGTTAAAGGGAGAGTCTTGAAAATTTCTAGAGGTACTTTGATAGTTATGAAAAGAAAGTTGAAAAGTGGATTATATATCTTACAAGGCAGCACAATGGTAGGTGTAATCACAATTTTTTCTATTTCAGATCTTGATCAAACTTGTTTATGGCATATGAGGTTAGGCTATATGAGAGAGCGTGGAATGGATGAACTTAGCAAGAGAGGCTTGCTTGGTGGAAAAAGAACTACGAAGTTAGATTTTTGTGAACATTGTGTTTATGGAAAACAATGCAGAGTAAAATTTAGTACTGGAGCTCAGAAAACATGAGGAACTCTTGATTTTGTCCATTTAGACTTGTGGGGTTCGTCAAGTGTTCTTTCTCGTGGTGGAATAAAGTACATGTTAACTTTCATTGATGATTATTCATGGAAAGCTTGGATTTATATCTTGAAACAAAAGAGTGATGTATTCCTCATGTTCAAATGCTAGAAATCTCTTGAGTACATGAACCGATCTAAATATTTAAAGTATATAATGCACTGTCCTAAAGGACTCATATAAAGACTCCTATGTAAGTTTCCATGATACAATAAGATCTTGCTAGTACTAGACTGAAAAAGATATAGATCTTGACAAATTCTAAAGCTTGAAAAAGAGAGTACAAATAAGAGACCAGTGCTCATTGCATCTCCTTCATATTGATTCTCGATATTTATGGAAGGAGATACCGACTATTGTGATTATAATTACTTACAAGAATTTAAAACAATTAATTTTAAAACTTTTGATAATAAAAATTAATTAAAACTACACAATTAAAATTAATTAGAACTACAATAGTCAAATTATTATATCTTATTAAATCGACATTAAATAGGTTTTTAAACTTGTAATTAATAAAAAATTATTTTGAATTTAAATTTAAATTCAAAATAATTTTATGAATAAATTAATCTTTTGAAATATCTCAAAATACACAACAATTTCCCCACATATTTCAAAAAAATTTAAAAAGACATTATGAATTCTCATGGATGTAATGCATCAGGACCTACTGTAGCAAGCTATTGAACCAAACCTAGATTGATAAAGCTTAACACAGAGTGTACTGAGTGTAACAAGCTATTGAACCCAAAACACTTGGTTTGTATAAGAGGTTAACTAATAACAATACACTTCCATAATCCTTGCCGTTATCGTTGTGTAGCGCTTTCAGGCCATGTACATGCTTGGTATTCATAAGTGGTCTAGAGATCTCGTCAAGATTACATACAAGCGATCCCACTTGACACTTTTATATAAGTGATTTTATCATGTGTATCTTAACTATAAAAATTATCTTCTCATTAATGTAACTTTAACACTTTCTCACACTATAGGAAAAGATTAAAAAATTAAAATTGATTAAAATCAATTTTAGTGCTAATATAACTAATAAATTACTTGTTTTTCCAACTGAACCTTCTTCATGGGATCTCCAACAATAAAGGATGGGTTATCATCATTGTTTATTTCAAATGATTTTAATAAAATCTCATTTCCCTCGATGTTTATAACTAACTCTCAATGTTTTATAAATAATATCTTCCCTAGAGGTTCAAAGTCAAAGGATCGATCAAATCCATTATTGACTACACATAATAATTTTTAGTCTTTTTAAACAATTGTGATATCACCTCATTTCTTAATTTTATATTCTCAATAGTATATTTGCTAAGAGATTCTCAATCACTAAGCCTCATAATCAACCAACAACAAACTTTATTTTGATAATTATTATTGGTTGATCTCAAATTAATTTTACTACAATAAAGTGTAATGACACATTAGTGTATTTTGTCTTAAATACCATAATTTATGGTATTTCTATGGTGTAAAATGATATATAAATTTCTCATATGGAAAACACCACATTTGACACTATAATCAAGTAAAATTACTCAAAATTGTTAACAATTTACACAAATGTCATAAATGACAATAACTTTTAAAAGTTAAACTTAAAAACTTACATCGCATATGCCACAAAGGTATCAACATATCTTATGTATATTAGGCTTAAGGTGAGTCTCATCTCAATCATGAGAATTAGTATCATACTAATAATTAGTCCTTCTTAGTATGGAGAAATTTTTAAATAATAATTGTCTACATCATTTTCCAGATGATTATGCCTCTTACTATTCTCATCACCTTTTTACCACATCTTATTTTTTCTCAAAAATTAACTTTGACTTCTACGCATACATGCATATAATTTTTATTTCTATTTTTAATTCACCTAAAAAGTTTTAACACAACACATAAATATAAAAAGCTTTTTATTCATGCCACCATGGTTAATTTTCCAACAATTTACACGGTACTTAAAAATTTTAAAAAAACATACTTTGACTGATTAAAATGATAGTCGTCAATTAATTATCCTCATACTTAATTAATTGTCTTTACTTGTCTTGCCTGAGTCATCAATTCTTAGAAAGTTAACCAATAGCAATTAAAATAATCAAATTACATAAAGTCGCATCATCACCCACAAATAAATTCAAATATTTAAGACAATATACTCAATAATAACAATGGTTAAATAATATATATAACTACAAGTAATAATTAACAAATTTATAATAATTGATAAAAAAATCAACCTACAACTAAATGTACTAGTCGAGAAAATTTCCAACACACAATATGACAAACTTAATAATATTAATATTAGGGATGACAATGAATAAAGTCTACTGTAGGATCTTATAATATCTGTTCCCATACCTACGTTTAAAAATAATACCTGTACCTAGTTTCATACTTGCATGGATAATAATTTTAATCCCCATTTTTATACTCATGACTTGTATTTTACTTATGTATAAAGTAAATAAATTAACAAAGAGATAACATTTCACCCAAGTAAACATAATAATAATTTGTCAGGTTTTTAACATTACAAAAATATAACATAAAAATTTTTATAAATAAAGATTACAAAACATTCAATTCTTGTAAATAAACTTTAAAAAAATTCAACCTAATAAAAGTTGTAATTAAACTTCCAACATTATCATCATGTGTTAATAATATTCTCCCAAGACCTAAAAAAAAAATATATATATATATATATATATAAATAACTGTGGGCGGGGTGGGTACCATAGTATCCACACACGTACCCACTAAATTTTGTGAGTATAATCGTACCCATCCTCATATAAGCAGGTATTTACTCGTTTCGCATGCGGGTATTTTTGCGAGTGTCCATAGGATTCAGATCCATTTTACCATCCCTAATTAATACATAATGTTGGATTTTTTTTTTCTTTATTTTTTATAGAAAAAAATTACTTGGATAACTTTTTATTTTTCATTCGCATCAAATCAACCTCTCATGTTGATGACTATGCTTGAGAACCACATATTTTTATAAATTTATTCTTCTTTCAAAACTAATCTACTTTCGTGTTGTTCTCCACTTTCACAGTCTTGTGCTCTCACACTAGTGGACCCAAAACCCTCCGAAATGGTTAATGATTTTGTTTTGAACAAATGTCAAATAGATTGCAATGGACAACTTAAGTCCTTTACATTGTTGTCCATGAATGTTGAGTACACGAATTGATATAAACTTTTGAGTAAAGTTGTTAAAAGGCCCATGTGGGCTAGCTCACCTTGACTCACTTAAAAAATGGGCCAACCCAACCCGGTTCATCATGGGTTGATGGGTTATACGGGTAAGCCCACCAGTCCACCAAATTTTTTCAAAAAAAATTATCAAAAAAATTTAAAATTTAAAATTAATTTTAAATTAACACAATAGCCATAAAATTAGCATCATTAATAGCCATAAGTCATAACTCATCATACAAACTTAAATACAAACCATGATAAAAGTCTAAAATAAAAGGTTTCAATGTCCCATCATACAAAATTAACTACAAATCATAATCAAAGTTCAAACTCCAAAATAAAAAGTTTTAATGTTTTATCATACAAAAATCTTGCAAAATAGACTTAATTAGAGTCTTGCACGAAAATGTCAATAACAATTTCTTCTCTTTGCATATCCATTTTATCTCCATCTACAAATAGGAAAAAAAGTGTTAGGATAAGCTATTGTAAAATTAAATAAGAAATTTCTCATTATAAAACTTACCAAATTCTTCAAAACCATGCAACCAATTTTGAGTTAGAATGAGTAACTCTACATTTTCAGGAAGAATGGTAGACCAATACTTAGTTAGCACTCGAGACCCAAGGCTAAAAGCAGATTCACTAGCAACTGTAGTGATTGGAATACTCAGTACATCACAAGCCATCCGAGAGAGGTTTGGATAACGATCATGACGATCCCTCCAATAAGCTAACACATCTAACTTTTCATGACACTTTGGATCAAGATTTCCTTCCTCCAAATATAGATCCAATTCAGATTTTCCATTAGTAGTAACATTTTGGCTCAAATAATCAACATATTCCTAAGACATTACAAAGAAAAAGAAATTCAATATTTGATGATAATTACTAAATAAAAATTAAAATTAAATCAAGTACTTGCTCATCATCTATATACGAAATTGGTTGTGATGGAAGAAGAGACACATTAGAAGTTGAAGCATTTAACTCATTTGATTTTACTTTCTCATACTCTTCAAACAATTCATAAATTTTCTTTCTTAAAGCACTAATTTTCCTTCCTCCAAATATAGATCCAATTCAAATTTTCCATTCGCAGTAGCATTTTGGCTCAAATAATCAACATATACCTAAGACATTACAAAGAAAAAGAAATTCAATATTTGATGATAATTACTAAATAAAAATTAAAATTAAATCAAGTACTTGCTCATCATTTGTATACGAAATTGGTTGTGATGGAAGAAGAGACACATTAGAAGTTGAAGCATTTGATTCATTTGATTTTACTTTCTCATACTCTTCAAACAATTCATAAATTTTCTTTCTTAAAACACTAATTTTCTATTCAAAAGTAGAAGGTTCAATTTTTCTATAAGCAAACTGAATAGCTCCAAACTTCATCCGTGGGTCAAGAATAGCACCAATGACAAGAATCTCACAATAATCATGCCAATACTTTGAAAACTTAGTCATCATTTTTGAAGGTATCTCTTTAATCACTAGATCTTCACACATAACAAATTCACGCAACAATTTTTCAATTTTCCAAACTTGCATAAAGTACCGATTAGATGTTGGATAAGTGGAGCCTAATATCAAATTTGTCATGACAAAAAAAGGCTTTAAGAACTCAGACATTCTTGCAGTCCTATTCCATTCATCATCCGATGGGCAATGAACATAATTCCTATCTCGAATAGCCAAACAACCAAATGCACGTTTGTATTTAATTGCACCATCAAGCATAACATAAGTGGAATTCCATCTAGTGGGCACATCCATTCTCAAACCCACCTTAATATCAATACCCTCACTTGAAGCCCACATTCTTTGAAAGCAATCTTTCTAGCTTCTGATCCTCTTACATATTTTATACTCTCTCTAATTTTTTTCAAAGCACCACTAGCCACCCCCAAACCCTCTTGAACAATGAGGTTTAGTATATGTGCACTACATCTCACATGAAAATATGAGCCATTACAAATCAAACTATTTTGCAAATTAAATTGTGCTTTCATGAAATTTACCATTGTGTCATTGGCACTTGCATTGTCCAAAGTTATGGAAAACACTTTCCTATCTATCCCCCAATCAAGCAAGATTTCAAATATTTTTTTTGCCATTTCATGACCACCATGTGGAGGGTCTAACTTAGAAAAGGCAAGAATCTTACTATTCAGTTTCCAATTAGAATCAACAAAATGAGCAGTTACACAAATGTATCCTTCCTGAGTTATTCATGTCCAACAGTCAGATGTTAAGCAAATCCTACTATTAGCTTTACGCATTGCATTTTTCACCTTTACTTTTTCTTCATCATGAATCCTCCAAAGATTAGAAACAGCTGTATTCCTACTAGGAATTCTTAACCCAGGATATAAATACAAAAATAACCCTCTAATCCACTTATACTCAACAAAACTAAATGATAACCCATGTTCAATAATAGCCCCTTGAAAACAAATCTTCAAAATGTTTTTGATCTATTTCTCTAGACCTCAGCTTGCCAGCTTGATCAATTATCATATTTCCAATTTGTGCAGATTTTTGTTTTTGCTTTAAGATGTCACACTTTTGCAAATGACGTAACATGGATGAAGTTCCTATTTTTATACCACCACAAACATATCCATTACCACAATGGTTGCATTTAGCTTTTCTTTACCATCTTTTACCCCAAGTTTAGTAAAATTATCCTAAACTTTAGACGTGGTTGTTTTAAGCTTCTTAGTTGGCCTAGAATCATCAATATCTTCAATAATAGTAGAAAGTTGTTCATTTAACCCAACTTCAATAATTTGCTCATGGGTTTTAGATTCCATTCTATATATTGAAAGCATTAATAAAAAGAAAGTTACTCATACAATTAAACACCAATATATCACTAGTAATAATATATAGCAAGACATTAATAATATATAGCAAGGTATTAAACTATTAATGATAAGTAGTCAATGCCTCAATGGTAACTCTACAAAGCTGCAATAAAAGAAACAATAACATCATAAAAGATATATATAATAATTTCTTAATTTTTAGAGACTAAATATAACATCTTTTAAATTTAAGTATTAATTTGAGTGTTTCCTCTTTAAATAAGTAGATTTTTTTTTTCTTTCTCTCTTAAAATTCTAACACGAGAAGATATTAGGGGTGGTCAAAGTGGCTTTTAGTTTTAAAAATTAGCAATGACACACTCCATTTCATGCTTAGACATAGGATTCAAATTTTGAAAATATAATCATCTATAATTTATGCTAATTAGTGTTAATAATTTAACATTACAATTGGTTTGTTAATAATTTAATATTACAATTGATTTGTTAATAATTTAATATTACAAATACAATATAAATGAAGCCCAAAATGTATTTTTTCTAAATGATAAACTATATAAATGAAACAAAACTTCTTTCCTTGTGGCACCTTTCCTTATTTGTTCATTGCACTATGCGTCAATAGTTTACGGAATTTTAATCTTTTATTTTAATTTTCAAGTTTAGTCATTTATTTTAACTTTTTAGTCCAATAGATAAAGGCTTTGTTGGATGTGAGATTGCTTATCTTTCCCTGTGGCACCTTTCCTTATCCACTCATATTTCCTTATCCGCGCATATCTTATCTTATTAAAGGGTAAGCGGCTAAACAGGGGGGCTAGCTTTCCTCACAAGTACGTTTTGGATAGCTTTTAGTTGACAAAGTTTGATCCCTTACCAAGTTGTTACTAACTAAAAAAATACATAAATAGGAAATTTGGGATTTGAAGCGAAACCTGCAGATAGGGCACCTTTGTGAAGCTGAAGCGGAACCTGCAGAGGGACACTTTCGTGAAGCTGAAGTAATGAAGCGGAACCTTCGTGAAGTTGAAGCAGTGAAGCATAACCTTTGTGAAGCTGAAGCAGTGAAGTGGAGCCAAGTGCGGTGTGGTGGGCGTAGTTGATTTGGGATTGGGTTTCCTTGCTAGAATAGGGTTTTGACTTCTTTTTTTTTTACAATTTGGACTTGGCAGATGATAAACACACCTCTACTCTCTTATAAACACACCTCCTTTTTTAAAAAATATATATAATGCCTAAATTACCCTTAAAAAAATTCCTAAATTTACACCCCCTCTCCCGCACCCTCCTTCTCCGCAGCCCCCTTCCTCTCATCCCACACCATTGTTGTTATTGTTGGCATTGCCTTCTTCTCGCCACATGACAAGAGCCCCGGATTGAACAAGCTCCAAGCACGGCCTCAGCTTAAAAAGGTTACCAATGTTGCTGTTGTTGTTGTTGCCGCATATGCTATTGAAGAAGGTTACCAATGTTGCTGTTGTTGTTGTTGCCGCATATGCTACTGAAGAAGGTGGTGGAATGGACGGTGAACGCGTACGGACAAATGGACATCATGTTCAGCAATGTTGGCATCCTTAGCCCCTCCGAGCAGACCGTGGAGGACCTCGACATGTCCCAACTGGACAAGGTTTTGGCGCTCAACGTGCGCGGCATGGCGGCATGCGTGAAACACGCGGCGCGTGCCATGGTGGAGAGGCGCGTGAGGGGGAGCATTGTGTGCACGGGGAGCGTGGGTGGCAGCCACGGTGGACCATCGGTGACGGACTACATCATGTCGAAGCACGCGGTGTTGGGGCTGATGCGTTCGGCGAGTTTGCAGCTTGCGGAGCACGTGATAAGGGTGAACTGCATCTCATCGAATGGGTTGGCGACGTCGTTGACTTGCAAACGGCGAGGGATGAGCGAGGAGGAGATGCAAGAGGCTTACCGGAAATTCGCCAGACTGCAAGGAGTGCTGCTCACTCCCAAACACGTGGCAGACGCCGTCTTGTTTCTCGTTTCTGATGATTCTGCCTTTGTCACTGGCCTTGATCTTAGGGTCGAATGGGACAAACCCGGGACAGCCTCCTTGAAGAGGAAATCCGAGGTTAGGGTTCTGAGGATGTCCAAAGGTGTGACCCCATCCACGGTTCTCACATTGGTCCAGCAGCACCGCCACCATGTCCGGCGACACCATCTCCGCCGCAATGTGGAGCGGCGTCTTCCTGGCGGGGCCAGAGGGGTAGTTCACGTCGGTTGCGCCGAGTTCAAGCAAGGCCTTCACCACTTCCCTGCTACAATTCTCAATCGCGTAGGAGGGGTGCGGGAAAGGGGGTATGGAGTGCGGGAAAGGGGGTGCGGAGAACAGGGTTACGGAGAAGGGAGCGTAAATTTAAGAATTTTATTTTTTTTAAGGGTAATTTAGATATTTTATATATAAAAGGGGGTGTATTTATACGAGAGTGGAGGTGTGTTTATCACCAGCCTTTGGACTTTAGTGTGTGCCACTTTATGTTGTCTATTGGGTTGGTTGTTGCAATAAAAAAAAATAAGTGGGATGGTGGGCTACCCGGCCCACCACGGGTTCAGCCTAAGTGGGTCGGGTAAAAGTGGGTCAAGTTTAAATTTTCCCACTTACTGTAAAATTTTATTTATTTTGGCCCGGCCCATTTTCATGTAGGCTGAGTTGGCCCACGGGCCATGACCCATTTTGACAGCTCTACTTTTGAGGATGCAACGCACTATCCTAAAGGACTACAACTCAGTGCATCACTCTCAATATTTATAGAAGGGGATACGGGCTATTGTGGCTATAATTAATCAAGAAAATTAAAATAATTAATTTTAAAAATATTTGATAACTAAAATTACTTAAAACTACAACGATTAGGTTATTATATCTTATTAAAATCAATATTAATTAGGTTTCAAAACTTATTATTTTGTAAAATAATTATTTAAATTTAAATTTAAAATAATTTCATAAATAAATTAACTTTTTGAAATATCTTAAAATATACAACACCAAATATGTTAGGGTAGTCTAGGGATGACAATAGGCTTATCGGACACGAGGTTTACTTTCTCCATCTATACACTCATTGAAGGGAGAATTGGTTTGAGTTTGATTTTTAAATAGGCGAGTTTATTGTTTAAAATTCACTATCTCCATCAAATTTTATCAAGTTCTAGTAAATTAATGGAAAATTCATCACTTTTATTTTATTTTATTACTTATAATTTTAAATAAATTAAATTTAAATTAATATTTATATATTATAATGTAAATAATATATATATATATAAATAAATAACTTACACATAAAAATTAATAATTAAATTATATTTGTAGTTAAATTTGTAATTTTAAGTTTGTTACTTAAGTATTATTATAACTTAAATTATTTAACTATTAAAATAATTCATATATTTTTTTAATATATATAAACAATACAATCTTAACTTTAATTTATATACATATACATAAAAATATATATGATTATAGAGATCAAGTAAGCAAGGGTAGAATCAAATTGAAGCATTGCAAGACAGAAGTGCAACCGGCAAATATAATGACTAAGTCATTGAAGATCGAAAGGTTTAGGGAGTTAAGAGAATTTTCGAGTGTATTTTGTTTTTAAGCTTTTGAATCAAAGAGGTGTTAAAAAATGTGATTCAAATTAGCAGATATACTGTTGTTAGGCATACTCGAAAATCATGTGACTCGAAAAGATTGATAGCGCTGCCTGAGAAGTAAAATCAACACATGATGAAATTATGGGACTCGGAAAAAACAAGTGTTGCTCGAAAATAGTTGAAAAGTTGAGACCGTCAGAACATGGAGGTTAAGCCAAAACGGTTACTAAAAAATCAATCGAGAAAACAAGGAACGTGGGAAGAGCGGTTAAAGGAAGTTGAGTCAAGACCACGTAGCAAAGATAGTGGATAGCGGTTGAGTCAAAAGCGTACATGTACAGAATCAACCGCCTTTAATTGCTCTATAAATACAAGGAGTACGGACCTTTACTGGGGTCGAAAAACTCATACTAGAATTGGACTCTGAAGCACTCTCTGCCTACACACACA